TCAGTATTGCAGGGTAATATACAATAGCATTAAGGGGTCCATACACGGTAATACAATTACTGGCGCGTGCTACGAGGGTGGCAGTTCTCGATAATCAATGGTAATGTATGGCGATCGGTTCCCGACTATTACAAGGGCTATTTGGCACGCTGCAAATGTTCACTGACGATTAATTAAACGGATCGTAATTAGTTTGTCGTACCTATTTTGGATTTGTCACATGCGAATTGAATAGGTTAATAATTTTGCAACGGTATTTTTTAGTTTTTAATATTTTGAAGAGTTATTTATTAGTATGTGTTAATTTATGTTAGTGTTTTATACCTTTTAAAGAACAGGATTTTATATATATATTATATTATATTTTTTATATATATTTTGTATATTTGTGTGTGTAATATTATAAAGAGGTAAAGTTTGTGAGTTTGGATGTTCGGGGAATCTTCGGTACCTATTTCTAATTCGATTTGGAAACTTGAAAATTCACTGTTAGGATATTATCCCTAAGTGTTTTTTTTTATACCACTGAGGTGGCAAACAAGCATACGGCCCACCTGATGGTAACCGGTTACCGTAGCCTATGAACGCCTGCAATACCAGAGGTGTTATAGATTACTTTTTATTTTAGTAAATGTATATTTTAAATAATTAATCACAATAAATGTAATTGAAGTCAGGAAAAATTCTATAATATGGCGTGCGCTGCCTAAATGGTTTGAAATAAAGGAATAAAATCTATAGTTTTTGCATTTAGTATGAATATCTTTATATTCATTACATTGTAACTTTATAAAAAAGTCACCGACACCATATATTTATCTAAGTTCAATATTTCAGCCAAAAATGTTTTTATAATATATGTAGTAATAATACAGTATTTCCTTATATTCTAAGAACTATTTATAACAGTAAACACGTAGGTATACCTAGTTATAAACGCAATATGTGACCTTACGCATTATGACGTTGGCTCACTATTTGTCTTCAATATTAACACGCCGTGAAACAAAGACATCGGCAAATCTTACGAAATTGACTCTAAAACGACACAGCACGACTTTTGTACATAATGTTGTCATAATATAACAGACTAAGTACCGTCCGTGGGCGGTGATTTTGTCTGTTCGAAATTTAAATTCTACAAAAATAAACAAATGTGAGAATTAGATATTTAGAGAAGTAGGTATATGAATGGTGAGGTTTATAAAAAATATTTTTAAGATATAAATTAAGGCCAGTGTTTTCGAAAGCACCTATTACAGTAGGTGCCTTAATCTATGGCTTTAACTGTAGAACGTAACTTATGATTTTAAATAATGGGCCCTATTCTTAATCTACGTTAGATGATAATTAAGGAACATTTTGATTTTGGAATTCGTAAGGAAATTGTTATTGCCAACTAAAAAAAAAAAGAGCACAGATTATAATACTTTTTCTCATGTAGCAACCATTATATGTACTTACAATGATCAGTATATAGTTTTATGATAATTATTTGCTATAATCATGATAATTAGTTGCTGGCGTCATCAACATTATACAGTATTTGTTGCTCTTGTTTTTAATGCAAATTGAATTTTAAACAGCCACAAAAATATTTACTATATAAAAATATATACCATGTACAAGCATGGTATAATATATAAGATATTGAATATTAATGTGCAATACAACTGTAATAATAAATAAATAAATATAGGTACTTATAAGTGCTTGGGGATAACAACATTATCTATGTTTCCGCCTAATAGCAAATGAAAAAAAGTTTACCATACTAATTGGTTAAAAAAAATAAACACTTAAACGTCGCCAGTACGAGATTCAAAATTCAAATGTGGAACACGGAAGCCGTCTCATGCGGAAGTTTTCGTTCCTTTGCCAGCACACGCCACACGCAGCTGGAGTCTTATTGATAAAATATGAAAAAGTTCAACAAAAAGTCAAAGAAATAAACTTGTAACTATTGTGGATGGAAGGAAGACAGGCTAGACTATTGCAAATTGATTTCTAAGTGTTCCGTCGCCACCCAGCATGGGAACGAATTTCTCAAGTGGTTCAGACGCATCGTTATTGATTGAGTAAAAAAAAAGTTAACATGCACGGCTGATGCTTTCAGATGTGCAATAAACTTCTTATCGATGTTTCAATAAATGATGTTCGTTATATTTTTAAATGCGTTTCGAACGAGATTCTAAATTTGAATTTTTTCGTCATTTCATGTCAACTTTTATGGCCAATTCTAAATCGATTTAGATATTTTTTTTTACAATCGATAGGGTTAACTTGTCTTGGTCCTGTATTAATTTTATAACAATTGAAGTTGCTATTTTTTGTGGAGCAAAAAAGGTCTTTTACGAATCAAAAATTACAATTACACCCCGATTCTGTATTTTAAATTTAAATATTTTTAATGTAAATGTACCTATGAAATATGGTATTCAGCTAGTTTGATAATCTTACTGATGTAATAAAAATGTAACTAAATGGTGTCTGTATAAGATATTTAAGAAAAAATACGAGGTTTTTAATAAAACCTATAGATATCAAAACAATTTTTAAAATTTTATGTCAGTCTGTCTATATGTTTGTTCTGGCATTAGGTAGATACTACTGCACCAAATTGGATACGGTTACAGTTCCTGAAAGTCTCAAAATTCGATTGATACTCGTACAGTATTTAGAGTTAATCATTTCTTTGGGTTTTCTATTTCTGAAAACCACGCGAAAGAAGTAATGAGCAAAAAGCTGAACATTTGGCTTTAATATTATATTTTGTTATTAATATTTTAGATATGATTATATGCTATATATTAGAAAGAAAGAAAAAAAATTATTCAAGTAATCATAGATTTAAACATTTTTGAAAAGTCATTTTTTCATTACCCCCCATTCGGAACGCAATTTCAGCCAAGAAGAACGGGCAAGATATTCAGCTTTTGCTTTTTTCAAAAAGTTTAAGCTATTGATATACAATAATTAAAAAAAAAAATTAATCAGGTACCTAGCATTAGGATGTACATAGGTATAGAATAGAAACATTACCCTTATAATGAACATCTAAAATACTATTCGAGTCATTGATGTCGCATCAATATATATTAAATGTTCATAAAATATCGACTTTATTAGTAGATAATAAATAATCATGCACGTCTCTTTATGGAGCGATCATTTATCGGGTGAATGATTCGCGTTCATAGTTTGTACTTACATTAGTCAAAAATTAACATCCTATTCGTAACAAGTCACTCCGAGAGGGAAATTAGAATCGTACGTCTTAATCACGCCGCCATTAAGACCATAGACAATGGACGTGACTCGAAAGTGTTCAGTATACTTTTTAACTGTCAGTGTCAATAACGTCCCCCTTTTAAATTTAGAACCACTTCAGCGACTAATCAGATCTGTAAAGTCGGCATTTTTGGTGCTGCCGCTTTTTTTTTAAATTGAGCGGCGATTTTCTGAGCTTCGGTACTCTTTGTGGCGAGGGCTATAATGAAAATACAGATAAAAAAGCACACACACACAGCATGGGAAAATATTTAATTAGACAATAGCTTATTTGTGTTTGTCTTGTGTTAATGTACTCCTTTTGAAAGGTTGGGTGCGTACAATTAGCACCTACGGACTACTGGTTCCCGAACGGTGCCTTTCCATTTTTTATGATAAGTCAATCTTGGATTCATGGAATAATTAGTCGTTTAAAAACCGATTGAGTCATTTGTCCGCTTATTGTTGATTCGTAATGAAATAATGTATTTTTAACTTACTTATTACTTGCAATTCGTTATTCCTTTTTAAACAACATTTTTGCTAGTGTCGAGTTCAGATTTTTTTTTAAATAAAAACAACCTATGTCATTTGTTGATGTAGCTTTGTTAAAGTGATAAATCGGTTAAGTATTTAAGTATATTAATTACTAGCAATACTATTAAGTTTATTCATTACAGAGAAACAATCATGTCTTTTTATAACATTATTTTTATAGCATAGATAAACAAAACAGTCTGTGAATTAAAATGGAATGATAAAATTTCATGCGCTATTTACAGTTTACGGAGGGCATAGCGTGGTCTAATCATCGTTTCTACTTCTTGTACACAGTTTTATTTTTTAATTTAGCAAAGCACCTATTGTCCAGGCAGAATGGCTCATGTTCGTAGCTTGTCCGAAAGAACAAATGTGAATAAAAAAAAACTTATTTTTAAAGAGTAGTCTGTGTCAAGATTTATTATAAAAATTCAGTAGTATATAATGACATCGAGTGTTTTAAGTAGCTAATGTCTAGACAGCAGTAATTAAGATAATACAAGTTAAATTGAAAAGCAACGCCGCTTCAAGTACCTACAATACTTACAACCCTTTAAGTAATGCTTTTATGTAAAGATAAGTGATAATCGGTCCTCACAAACCAAAGATATTGAACGTTCTTGTTCTTAGAAACGTGCTGTAAACTATTTTTAGTATCTATGCCATTATAATAATATTGTCTATGGGCTTTATATTTTTATATTCTATTATTTTTGGCGGGATTTCAGAGGGTTGCCATATTAAATAGTAATATGGCCACTCCATTACCCTTGTATGACTATTTTCATATTTATTTAAGTAATATTTTAATTTTTTTATTTTATATATAAAAATATGTCAACACTATCATACATATTGGTTTGCTGAAAGAGAACTCTTACAGAGTTAATTTTGCCCGTTGTACATCTTTATTATTTATATATATTATAATAATGTAATTTTTGTGTACAATAAAGTACAAGTACATAAATAAATAAACATAAAAAAATATAATTTTATTAATGTTAAATTTAATAATACAATTTGAATATTCCTGGCCATTTATGATTACGTTTTCGTTTATTTTTCGAATTTGATAACACTATTTTTAATTGAATATTTATAGTTTTACGGCTTTGGATTCAAAGTGATCACTTAGCACTTTAATAGTAGTTAATTTGATGATACTTACTTTTATTTTGTTTCCACAGAATCCCTGAGTCCACAGTCGGAACAAATGACAAATAATGGTTCAGCACCTGATCCCAATATAAGGTAAGTAATTTTATTTCTTAAAATTCAACATTTTAGACAAAAATATTCAATATTGAAAATTATTTTAAAATGTTTTTAGCTGTAACAGCTAAACGACTGGTGTTTTTTTTTGGTGTCTAATTATAAAAATAAAACTTTTTTATTTTATTTTCATGAGACATTAATGATTATGTATTTAATCTTAATAATAAACGTAACCCTATGTTTACATTTTTTTTAAAATATATCTTTTTTTTTTTATAAACAATCACACATTTTATTATCTATCTATAATATAGTTATAGTTTATTATTACAGATTATTACGACGTGATTTCCTGTAATAATTAAAATCGGGTATTTTATTTTTTATTAAGGAAAAGCCAACAGTTAAAAAAATCATTTACAGGTTTTCACAAATAAAAACAAGATTTAATTAAATTAAACTTAAAGTGATCGATAGATATATTGTAGGAAGGCAGTTATTTAATATATGTATGTAGGTACTATTTACCTGTGATCGCGTCGCGTTAAGTTCTGATCGTGAATTTAAAATAAGAATGTATTTTTTTTTTAAACTTAATGTTTGAGCTCTATTGATATGCCGCATACCAATAGAGCTCAAACAGTTATAAATTAAAAAATAAATATATTTTTTATTAAGTAATGAATATACAGTTTTTCAAATTGTTCATAGGAGATACCGCACTGCGTTCACACGAGAGCAGCTCGCGAGGCTCGAGAAGGAATTTATGAAGGAGAACTACGTGTCGCGGCCCAGACGCTGCGAACTGGCCGCACAGTTACAACTGCCAGAATCGACAATAAAGGTATATATTTATTGTTTTTTTTTTTAATAAGATATAATAATTAATTAAATATTAAAAAGGTCTATTTTAATGTTGAAACTAGTATGAGACAAGCGAGGAAGTAAAATATCGTAATAACCAATGGAATTCAAGATTAAAATAAATAGGTGTATATAATAAATCGTTCGGCAAAAAAACATATGTACAGACAACCACAAATGCACGCATGCATGCGCACACGAACACACACACACACACACACACACACACACACACACACACACACACACACACACACACACACGCACACACACGCACACACACGCACACGCACACGCAGACGCACGCACACGCACACACACGCATACGCACGCACACGCACACACACACAACAGCGCGCGCGCGTGCGCGCACACACGCACATGCACACAGATTCACATTTACGCGCAAGTACACTGCCTGTAATACTACAATAAATAAATATGACTAGAAACAATAGGTTAATTAAATTACAACATAGCACACGTATTACATTACAATGACCACGTATAATCGTCCTACGCATCAACAACTCGACGATATGTCAACGGCTGATTAGCATACACTGAAAGTCTTCAGTTTCACACATCCGCCCACACCGCGACCCGATTGTTTCGACCTCAAAACAATTATAGTAATGTAGCAAAGTATTTTCGTAACGTGACCATCGAGTGACGCGACCATAACAATTCTTACACAGTCATAATAAGTGATGTGGCGTTCGTAATAAGCACTTTACATTACTTATGTATTTTTATTTATTTATTTATTGCCAACATTACAAAAAAAATGTCTGATACAAAAAGCGGATATACTATATAGCGTTCTCTGCCAGTCAAGCTTTGGCAAAACATGTAAATATGCGGGGAAAAAATTGAAAATTGTTGCAGAAAAACAATTACTTCATATTACTAATATAATATTTTTAAAAGTAGACTTAAAGAGCATTCTCTATCCATGTGAATATATTTTATTTATTTGTATATGTTCCGGAGGGAGACTTTGTACAAAAGTCGTTTGCTTGTATACCTCTGTCCCATTCGTGTTTCAACCGTAAAGCAGTTGTATTTGCATGGCTGTGTTTCGGTTTGAAGGGTGGGATATGGCGTGAATTTACAGTGTACAGAGGAATAACATCTGAGTCCTCAGGATTGGCAACGCATGGGGGGTATCATGGGCGAAACAATATACTCTGTTATGTCCATGGTACTGCTCATGTCTATAGGCGACGGTTACCACTTTCCATCAGGTGGGCCGTCAGCTTGTTTGCCATTCTAAGTTGTATAAAAAAAAGTATATGTCTGTATGTGTAAGTATAAAATTATGTTTATGTATGTATATAGTTCAACATGATAAAAAATTTTATGTGTGAATTAATCGTAGTCTGCTTTACTTTAAACTTTATATCCTGTATAGTTACATATTTTTATCAAACCACTTCTTAAAGGGGGTGAGTTTTTTTTTTAACTATTTCATCTCTACTTATAATCAGAATTGTTGAACAAAATCAAATTTAATGCGAGCGAAACCGCGTTTAAAAGCTAGTAATTAATGTATAAGAGCAGCATTAAATATTTGAAATATTAACAATATTGTAAGAAGACAGTAATAAAGACGACAAAAAGCTATAAAACAAAATTATCCAGTCATTACATTATTACAGCGGAAAGTAACACGTAGAAATCCATAGACAAAGAAGCTTACGTATTTTTTTTTAATTATTATTGAATAGGTGCTTAGTTTATAAGGTACTAAGAGTGCTTAATACTAAAGACATTTCCTGGTACCTATCTATAGGTACTTCAGTCCACTGAAAGTAAAAATTCTTAAAAAGGTGTAACCTGTTATCAATTTTTATTGTCATTATACAGGCATTATTCTTAGTCTATGCCACTATCTTATCCTATAGAAAAATAAAAAAAAAATTATGCCCTTCGATTAATAGCCTGTTTTCAGTATTTACGTCAGATTTGACGAATGGATTTTAAATGCATATTTACACTTAATACCTATTTTTCAGAAAGTTAACGGGCTAGCATATTAATTTATTTAAGAAAAACAATTTTTTTTTTATTATGAACAAATGAGGCAGCGGGCTTTGAAAACTAATATAGGTCTTCGATATTGACTCGCTAAATGAATACGACTCAGCGGTATGATACTTCAATTAGATATACAATAATTTCCATCACGAACACTTTATAACTGGACGCTAATTTGCAAGAATCACGCGACAAATATGTGAACATAGACAAAGGGGTTGTTCCAAATTTAAAAATTAAGTGTCTTTTAAAAAGAAACAACATAGACTAAGAATTGTATTCTTATTCTACTGGCAGCAATGATGCGTTCAAGTATTTAATTCGTGAATGTATTCCTTATTATTTTTACAATTTTATCAAGAATTTAATTATTTATAATAGATTTTTTACAGCCTAAATAAAATATGCTGTATTTGAGAAGTGCTTGAGTGAATTCTTTATCTAATGGAATGCGAATACCAATTTAAAATTCATGATTCGCGCGCCAGCTGTCCGGTCATAATCTCAATTATCACTTCGAATTAAAATGAAAAGAAACACAACGGCATAGATAAAAAAAGCGACACGTGTTTTTATGGGTCCATTCGGTTTTTACATTCACGTTAATTTGTCGATGTATTAATAAAGGGTGCCGGCCGAATTATTCAGTAGCTGTGGAATGCTAATGAACATTAATGTCGAAAGAACGGAACGCTCACAACGCTTTGGCGGCCATCATTAGTGGGCGAGTGCATGAAAATAGGTACTTCATTGGTTCACTGGCTTATAGGGTTGACCCTACATATTGTTTTGTATGTTAATTTAAAATGTATATGTATACGATTAGGTAAGTTAAAATATTTTCAAAGATAAATTTTGTATTTTTCTACCTTTTAATTATAACTCTTAGATACAGTTTCGTGATATTTTATTTATGTCCGTATCTAGAAATAACGTTTTTTCTCACTAATAAATACAACGTAGTGGCAACCCTAATATCGGAGCATCTGTTTTATGGTGCGATTATACCAATTAAAACTATTAAACCGCCGCTACCATTTGATAAGCAATAAAACTGAGAATTTTTTCGGTATGTTTGTTTATTGTGATGAATCTTTATAGTGGTATCAATAAACACCCGATAACATATACTAATAAAATTTTCTAATTCCATGTGACAGACTCGGACGATATCTTTCGCAGTCTATTTGAATTTTAAATTACAGTTAGATTAGTTTATAGGTACTGCTTTTGAAAAATGCATAAAAATATATATTTGACATTTAAAAAAGGAACATATTTTTAAAACACGGCACTTTTCGAAGATTTCTTTGCGTCTTTAAAAAATTTAATAATGTCTATGGTACGAAAGGAAGTTGCTTGTTTTTGCAAAATTCCCGCCAATTAACACGTCGTTCGAGCACACAATGGCGGGTTTTGTGAATCTGTTTGCACACTTTGTTGCGCTTAGTTCAGCGAGGCATCCATTATGCGTTTAACGATTTTCGATGGCTTTAAACGCTTCGCACTGTGTACACTACTGAATATTTTATGATAGTACACAGTTACATTAGAAAATATGCAATTAATTAGCAATGGAGTGCGAAGGCGGCTATTAGACGCTCTCTTTATCTATTAATGTTTATACATTTCTACGTATTATCTGCATAGAGTGTTTAAAAACACTTTATTATAAAGCTATAAAATATATTAAATCAATTACCGAATATGTGTAAGCGCATCATTTCAGAATTGTTACATTAACTTGGCTAATTCTTTTCTGTTGTGTTTGTAATTGTCAGAATAGGGTTTGTATTATCATAAATGTTTAAAAAATAGTACCGAAATGTAAAAAAAATTGGATTAAGATTTGGTCTTATTTTCTTTATTAGTATAGAAGCGTTCGAAGAGGGTGCGGCAGCTAGTTTTTAAAAAATATATGTTTTTATTATCCATTATTTTAATAGAATTTGCTAATTCTTGTTGTGAATGATAGGATTTGTTTCCTTGCTTGTCTCATATAATGATTGGTTATATGTTGTGATTAAAGCAGCCGTTTTTTTTTTTTTTGCAGAGCTAAGCTTAACATGTGAATTAAAATGACATAGATACAGGATTCCACTTTCTAAATTCGAATATTCTAAATCTAATGTGTTTACGAAAATTTGTCCTTTATCTGTGCATTTTATCAGTTTTAATATGAGAATAGTGATATTATTAGTAAATATTAATTTGGTCACGTTTTGTTATGGATTAAAAATTTAAAATCATATTATAGTCTAAGATCCCACCATTAATTTCTGTAGGTATAAAAATTTTGCTTATAATTATTTGTTTTTTTTTGTCTACAGGTGTGGTTTCAAAATCGTAGAATGAAAGACAAACGCCAGCGTATTGCCGTTGCTTGGCCTTACGCGGCTGTCTATAGTGATCCAGCCTTCGCAGCCTCTATACTCCAGGCTGCTGCATCCTCAGTTGGACTTCCATATGGGTATCCATCACCGGCCCTAATTCCCCCTTTCCACAATCCCCAGCTTTTACCCGCGGGGTACCCTTACCCATATCCCCCATACCCACGATACCCATACATTCCTCCAACCCCTCCATCCCCCGTTAACGCTGAAACATCATCCCTAAGGCCTACATATCCTAATTTCAATATGAACGTTGACAAATAAATTTATAATTTTAAATTTTGTATGTATGTAAATATGGTTTAATATTAGATGTTATTGTTTAGTAATTTATTGAATGCTGGTCATAATATCGATAATGCTTTATACAAAAAAAAAAAAAAAATTGTTGCTCTAAATTCAAAAATAGAATGTTATTCCATGTTTACAAAGTTAAATGTCAGTGGGACGTCGATAAGGCAAATAACTTGAACAAAACCATAGATAATAAAACTTGTATAGTAGCGATTTTTGTATGAAAAATTTACAGCAGCTTATGTGGTTCAAAAAATAGTCATCCAATAATACATAGATATCAGAGTATCAAGACACACCTATACCTCATCTATGGCAATGTACTAGGGCATAGGAATTGCGAGAGGCACAATATCTTCTATGATGTATATGGCTATACATGGCGGTTACCACTTCCATCAGGCGGTCTTTAAGCTCTTTTATTTTTAAAATAATCTTTTTCTTTTTTAAATATGTAGATAGGTAAAAAAATCTTTTTATTTAATAATTCTATTTAAATAGATAGCAAATTCTAGAATACCGCCGCTAAATTGCGCGTCTTTATATATCAAAAGTTTCAGGATCTTGGTTATTATATCGGCCTCCTTATATCGACTCTTAGATGGGGGAGGTCTTTCATTAGTTATGTGTCAAATCGTTAAAAATGTATATCCGCGGATATAAAAGGATAATTAGTAATTAGATCCGCGGATACGGATATAGATACGGATCTTTACCTTTTTACTCAGATAGTTTTTTTTACTGAATGATAATAAAATGTTACCCCCATCTCTTCGCTATCAATATCAACATTTAAGGGACATTAGTGAAGGATGGTAGGTTTTTTTTTTTTAATTTAGTATAATACGGAACAGCATGTATTAAATTTGTATATTCACAATACTATTTAGAATTAAAACAATATTCACAAGAATTTTAAGTTGAGCTCCTTGCAATCTATTCTCCATCTATCTCTGCTCACAGCTTCACGAGAGTTTCACATATGTGATGACATTTGACGAGGTAAAAGATCCGTCCAAGAACCGCCAAAAAATAGCAGATAAGAATACAGATCTTTTTCTTTCACGGATATCCCCAGATACGGAGACGGATATTTGGCACATCACTAGTCTCTATTATGTCATATATATTTAACATATTTGCGAAAGCCTTATGCGTATCCAAATTGACCAATGACTTAGAAGATGGTCTCTCTCCTTGTGTCCGTCTTTTCAAACGTTGCACCCTTATATTGACCTAATTTTGAAATTCACACAATAAAAGTAAAAAAAGGTTCCATCTTATAAATAAGGCGTTTCACACACTGACCGCGTTTTATATATAAACCGCGCACCGCTACCACAAGCAGTAGACTGCGGGATGTGGTCAGTGTGTGAATCGCCTAAGTAAAATAATACTTTCTCTCTACCACATTAGTATTCCTTATTTCTCATTTCATTACTTTCGAATTAGCTCAATATCTTTCTAAACGCCATGCCTATAATGTAAACCTTTTTAATGGGAAAGTAAAAAGTATAGTTTACTGGTTTATGAGTTCTATCGTCCACTTTGAAATCAATTTTGATTGTATAGGGAGAAAATAATAAAAAAAAAAAATAAAAAAAAAAATAGATAAGGAAACACACTTTGTGTTTCAAAACAAGTACATTTAAAACAAAGCACAGTAGAATCCCGATTATCCGAATATTCGATTATCCGGACATAACTCCGGACATAAGTTTCTAAATCGAAAATTAGAAATGGTGTTATGTAATCCATTATTTTTATAGCTCTTTTTTTTTATATATTCTATTGTCTAAATGATGTATGTGAAAGCCTTTATATAATAAACAATATGTTAAACTTTAATTATGTATTTTTTTTATTTGATTCTAAAATCGATAATCCGGATTTTCGATTATACGGTTTCTGGCCCTGGTTTTATTTTTTTTCAGATAATCGTAATTCTACTGTTATTCATATTTACTATAATGTTTATAAACTTATTTTGTATTATTTTTTATTTGCGTTAAATATTAATATTTTATAATAATTGGGTTACATATTATGTAATGAAAAAAATTTAATATCCGTATTTACGTGTTGAATTCTGTATGTGTTTGAAAGCAAGGGACTTTATAACAATTTTTATTCATATATAATTATTTATTATTTAATTTATATATACATCGTCATAATCTTCAGCTTTTAATTGTCCACTGCTGACATAAGCCTCTCCCTAGAAGGATTTTGCCAGTAGTTGCCACGCTTGGCAGGTGAGTTGGCAAACGCAGGCAGGGCTTCGGCGATGTCTTAAGAGGGACGCTGCTGCTCATCCCTCGACCATTTATTACTGTTATTTAATAGTTGTAATTTTGAATTTAATTTAATGTTTTTTTTTTTGTATGTTTATTACTTATTTCGAACACTATGTACTTTGTTTTTTTTTTAATAAATGACTAATTAAGTTCCATTAGTCGCCTCTTACGACACCCACGGAAAAGGAAAGAATTTGTTTATATTACTTTGACTTCATTATAATTATAAAAAAACAAGCAGTAAACTGGCCGTGTGGTCCCGGCATAGAATAGACCACCCCTTCCTTTTTCGTGGATCTCGTAAGAGGTGATTAAGGTGGAGCTGGGGATGGGTAGCAGCGTCCTTTTTGGAACATCTCTGAAAGCCTGACTACGGTTGACAATTCGTTTGCCAAACGTGGCAAGTACTGGCAAGCGTAGGCTTATGTTCAGCAGTGGATAGATAAAGGCTGATGTGATGATGATGATGATGAAGTAGTAAACTACCAAAAATAGAAAAATTGTTTATTTATTATATATTTTAATTTTTTATTTTTATTTTATTACAAATCGAAAAAGTTAAAACTGTATTTTCTCTTTTTCGATTTGTAATTTATTTTTCTTTATTTTAATTTTTAAACTAAGTTTATTATATAAGTGATTAATTTTTTTAAATAACGGTATAAAAAAATCTTAACAAACAATATCACCGGTATACGAGTATATATATATATACATGATTATTAATTATTGAATGAACGTGTTCAATAATTAATAATCATGCAATACGAGGAGGGATCAAAAAGTAGTGACAACTGGCAGGCATAGTTCAGATACATATTTGTAATATTAACAAAGAAAAAAATCATCGATTCTCTTTTGTTTTTTTCTGAATCTAGTCATTTTTTTGCTTCGTTTCGGAGCGTGTTCTCGAAAATGGGGAAAAACGAAGTGCCAGCCATTATATAATTAAGTACCTCTGTTTAAAAAAGTTAACGACGCAAGAGATTTATTGCGATTTGGAGGCAACATTAGGAGTCTGCTCCGCCGTATTTAACTGTTGCAAGATGGGCTTCTCAATTTTTAGTAGGAAGAATGAGTATGGAAGACGAACATCGTTGCGGCCGTCCATCGACGTCAGTCACCCAAGATAATGTTGCGAAAGTCGAGAAAATTGGATCGAGCGATCGAAGAGTTACCATCCGATACTTAATTCAGGAAATGGGCATTTCATATGAAAGTATTCAATCCATATTGAAACAATCTTTGAATATGGTAAAAGTCTCCGCAAGATGACGCTGAGGATGTTAACCGACAGTTAGAAACAAAATCCACTTGACATTTTGAAGATATCGTTGGACAAGTTTCAAGAAGATTTTGAAAACGTTTTATCTTGTTTCGTAATAATGGACGAAACATGGGCCTATCATTTTGATCCCGAGACAAAACAGCAATCTTCGCAATGGAAACGGCTGCTATCACCGATCCCAAAGAAGTTTCCTGCCGTGGCATCGGCTGGCAAGGTTATGGCCCAATATTTTGGGACTCAGAAGGGATATTGTTGATTGATTACCTGGAGCGTGGAACCACTATTACAGGCCAAAATTATGCAGCTTTAATTCCCAAGTTGAGGAATGCCACCAAAGAAAAAAGGAGAGGGATACTTCAAAGGGGCGTGCTGTTTCATCATGACAACGCACCCGCGCACAGGTCGGCAGTTGCGATGGCTGCCCTTCAGTAAGCTGGCTTCGAATTGGTTGACCATAAATTGAAAGAATACTTTAGGGGAAACAGGTACGAAGACGATAACGAGGTGATGGATGCCGTGGAGAACTTTTTGCAGGACCAAGACAAAACTTTTTTTGGGATTGAAGTCTCGGAAAAGCGCTGGACTCGGTGTGTAGAGAGACTCGGAGTCTACGTAGAAAAATAATTATTACGTTATTTATAATCATTATATTCGATCTCATTTCCACTACTTTTTGATCCCTTCTCGTATGGTGTAACTAGTGACGTATTGTTTTTAAGTATCTATGTAATCGATACATATAATAAAACAAAACAAACAAACAATAGAACTCAAAACAATCATTTTTAGAATTTTTGTCTGTTTGCCCGTACGTTTGTGCACGCTAATCTCAGAAACGGCTTAACCGATTTGAATGCGGTTTTCGCAATGCATTTTGGTTCGTTTCTCTTAACATTTTGTGTTTATTTTGTTATAATTGGTTCATAAATAAAACAAAGTTATATCAATCTAAAGAATCGCATATAAAATGCTATAAAATAACTAATTAGTTGAATTGGCTGAAACTTTATGAAGATGTTAGGTACGTAATTATTATTTAAGTATATAATACAATATACGTCTACATATGTCCCAAGCGTGCCTCCCTGTTCCAGTCCAAAGTTTTAGAACTCCCCAAGACCCATTTTTTTAGAAACTCTTTCACATTTCGTTCTGCGCAACTATGGAACAGGCCACCTGCTGACATACGGGATAGTCCTTCCATTACTTCCTTCAAGAGAAGACTGAAATCACACCTTTTAATCAATTGTACATGATAATTCTATACACTTATACATATGTATATATATTTATCTATTTACTTGTTTACATATTTATTCACAATAATGTTTGTTGTATTTACATTATTTTCACTGGTACCTTTTCTGTACTGGATTACCCAAGTTAAATCATTTTCTCTCTAACAACACTGGGTTGGCTGGAAGAGATCTCTTTCAGAGATAAGTCCTCCCTTGCTAACATGTTGTTAAACTAATCGTTGAATATATTGTTTAAGTGCAATAAAGAATATGTATATATAAGAGCGGATTCATGAAGGGTTCCAATGAGAATGATATACGGGAACTACATAGTTAGAAGCGGGCAACGCCGTGGAAAACGGAAATACATATATAAATAAAAAAAAATTGAGATCCTCTGATTTAAAAGTATGTTTATTTTGCGGATTTTAATAATACGATGGAAAGTGGTAATTGCCTTAAAGATTGATATCACAGGATATACTGTGCCGCTCATGTCGCCCCGCTATTTCTCAGGATACTATTGGGGGGTGAGAACAGGTGAAAGAAAAGAAATATATTATAAAGCTGGTTGTCAAAACAAAGTTAAAGAAAATAAAATTTGAAAATATGATTGTGTGCAAAAATATATTTTTTTTATTTCATTTTAAATTTTATTTAAATAAGTTTTTTTATCTACCATAATTAAAAAAAAGTCATACCCCAAGTGCATGAAATGACGCATTAACCATTATTATTTAACCATTTTTCTTTCTACCGTAAAGCAGTTGTGTTTGCATGGCTGTGTTTCGGTTTGAAGGGTGGGATATGGCAGTGAATTTACAGGGTACAAAGGAATAACAACTGAGTTCTCAGGAATGGCAACGCATGGGGAGTATCATGGGCGAAACAGTATACTCTGTTATGTCCATGGTACTGTTCATGTATATAGGCGACGGTTACCACTTTACATCAGGTGGGCCGTCAGCTTGTTTGCCATTCTAAGTTGTATAAAAAAAGGGGTACAGAGGAATAACAACTGAGTTCTCAGGAATAGCAACGTTCTCAGGTATGGTACCATGGGCGAAACAGTATACTCTGTTATTTACATAGGATATTTTATGTATGATTAGTAATGATTCACGTGGGCACAGCCACGGGATACAGTTAGAAAGGTGTAAACATCATGACGAATTGACAGTCAACATGTTTTTTTGTTTATTTATTTTCAAATATTATGACCT